AGGAAAGGATGAAACTAAGAAGTTCTACTTGCTAAATGTTCTTTTACATAAATGTATGGCAGATATTATCATAGTCTTGCCAAGATGAGCTATTCATAGATAGGTTATTGTATGTGGTTACTGGAGTAGACTAGGACATATTCCAAATAGGCCAGGGGTGGGGAACCTGTGGCCTCTAGGCCGCATGTGGCCCTCTAAGTCTTCAAGTGAGGCCCTTTGACTGAATCCAAACTTCACATAACAAATCCCCACATGTGGCCGCAAGGGCACAGGTTCCCCACCTCTGGAAGTTGAGCAAGGGTCTTCCTTAATCAAAGCAGCCCTAATAAAAGATTGGTAAAAAGCTTATAGAAAAAAATGTTTTAAAAAATTTTCTATAATATATTTCAAATTTGTCTCTTCCTTTCCAACGCCACTGCTGCAATCCTGATTCAGACCCTTATTGCTTTATTCCCGGAATCCTACAATAGCCTCCCTCCTACGTCTTCAAGACTCTCTAGGCCTTATATTTCTCTTTTATCTTCTTCTGCTCCCCTATACAAACCCTCTCTTTAAGTCAAGGTAGTCTTTTCACGGCGGAAAAACCTTGTACCTCTGTACTTTTAATCAAATTCTTAATCCCTCTTCTCTCCTCTCTACTTGCACATCCTTCAAGGCTCAGCTTGTCACACTGAGCTTATCACAGTCACAACAAATTTGCCAAGTAGGCAGGAGAAATGTCTACAGATATTAAGGGAAAAAATTGAATAACAAAAACTTATTCTACAGCTATGGGAAACAGTAAGAGAGAATGGAATAGAATATTCAAAAAAGCAAGAGATCAACCTGCAATTCAAAAAGACATAACCTGCAAACCTGAGACTAATCATAAATTTAAAAAAAAGGACTTCAACAAAGGAGATTCATTTCAAATATTTTTAGAGGGAAAAACGCTAAACAGAACAAGAAGTGTCTTGCAGACACATCAAATAAATGCAGAAGAAAGGTAAATAAATATGGTAGGAAGGAATAAACAAAAGATGAATAAACAAAGGAAGAGATAAACAAAGAAATCAATTTTTTCATGTTTAAAGATTACTATTTAAACTAAAAAATTGACATATGAGGTTAGGAAAAAAGAATAAATAGGAATCATCAAGGGATGTAGAGGTGGAAAAGGGGGGGAAAGAGAGAAAGGAGAAAGAGACAGAAACAAAGAAAGAGAGATGGATGAAGCAATTAATTGTTAAGTTATTAAATTATTAAGCACTGAATCTGTGCCAGGCACTGTGCTTAGTGCTCAGGTTACAAATACAAGCAAACAAGATCTACTGTCCTTCATTTTCAAAGAGAACCAGTGACATCACAGGATGATGTCTTGACTTGTGCATGAATTGGATTTAAGTGAAGCAGAGCTGCACAGTCATCAGCCTTACTCTTTCTTCCAGAGTCACAAAAGTCCAGTGGCAAGACAAAAGTTAGGCAATGGCCCAGGATGCAATGGATGACTTTGGCGTCTTTGGTGTCTAACCAAGTTCTAAGAACTCCACAGCACCTGCTTCTTTTGGTTGGGACAAATTGTTCTCATCTGCCTATTCTGCCAAGGGAAGCTTCCACATGCTTGGAGTAGAAATCCACTTAATTCACCAACATGTTTGAGCTCTATCAGTTATCCTCAACCTTTTCTGTCCTGTCTGCCAAGACAAGGGTGTGCTACTGTATAAGCTACAGCTTCTTGGAGTTACAGGTAAGAGTTGGGTGACAGGTGGACAACTAAAATGGATGAGCAGCCCTGAAGAGGGCTCAGGAAGCCCTCATGCAAAAGGTGCTAGTCCTCTTAGAATACCCCATACACCCCAACAAGCAAGCAAGATAGTCTCATCCTGAAAGAACTTAAGATTCTAATGGGGGATAAAACTGAAACTGTAACACAGGGCCAGGAAATACAACGGGTCATAAACCAGCCAGTCAGCCAGCAAGGAACCAGGAGGATGGAAATGCCAGGAGATACAGGAAGTTGGATTGTCAAAAGTCTAGGCACACCATCATGACCTAAATACGCAGGAACTAGAATGGGGCAAAGGAAATAGAACACCTGGGAGTTTCTTTCAAGACCGTATATGTTTCCTGTGAACGCATAGTCAAACTCAAAGAATTGCAGATGAAGGAGAATACCTGGTTGGACTCAAAAGGTAGCCAAAAAAAAGGTCCTGAACCATCAAGTCCAACTTCTTCGTGAAAAATTCATTCTCAAACACATATACCTCATGGTGGATCAAGAGCAAAATGTGCTGCCTAGAAAGGTAGTGTACTCCCTCCCAATGGTGGACTTAAAACAAAGACTAAATGACTATGTCAGTATATCGTAGAAAGCATTCTTGTTCAGGTATGGGTTGGACTAACCACATGGCCCCAAGGTCCTAACTCTGTACTGACTGTGAAATTCCATGATTTAGTGATATTACCTCCCAAAAAATTTTTTAACTGAAAAAGTAATAGAGAAACATAATTTAAAATACGACAAAATGTATGCATAGATGCATATATTGGAATTACTCTATGAAGACATATGACTAACATAGAGAATCAACTGTAAAGCGTTGTTTACAAAACTGAGTAATTATAGAGATGTTCAATATGCATGGTTATGTTGAACTTACATAATAGAAAGAATAACACTATCCAAATTAGATTTGGTCCAATACCATTTAAGAGTTATAAAAATAAAAGATCCATACTCTCAGGTATAATAATAATACTTTGAATAATACTTTAAAACAGCAATTATCTAAACTACATGATTCTGAATAAAAAAAATGGATCACTCCAATAGACTAGATAATAGTGAGCAAGAATCAGACATATACAGTAGTCTTTTATAGGAGCTAAGCATCACAAGTCTGTGTGTATTTAAATATATATTACCTAGGTTAGCACTAAGGAACTGCTCATCTGGATCCACAGGGTCTAGAGCACCAAATTCATTCCAGGTTCTCTATCTAGGTATAAGGTGTACACTAGGTTCAACTCAAAGTGGGGATTTGCCTCTAATAAGAAGGATCCTTATGTTCTTATAATCACTGGCTCATTAAGATGCCTACCTCTCGATGCCAGGACAATTGTGATTATAGTAAATTAGGTCATGGCTCAGGTTTAGTACCTTCCAAAAGAGGGAGTAAAAAGATATTTATTGTAAATGGGACAGATCACACACAAATACACATTCACAAATGCTAAACACAGGATCTTTACAATAGTATTTCTAACAGAAACAAACTTAAAACAGGATTTAGTAACAACTTAAAACTATTACAACTCTCCTGGGAGGTTGATACTCAAACTTCATAAGAACATAAAGTGGTTTGTGAGATAGCTTTTAGGATAAATTAAAAACTCCTCTGTGGATAATTAAAACACTTCATAATCTGCCTTGACCTTACTTTTCCACATCTAGTCTACATTATTACCTTTCACTCTCTTTATTGTCCAGGTAAATTTACATCTTTGCTATTCCTCACATACATTATCCCATTGCCCTTCTCTGTGCCTGTGCCCAGACCTTTGATGCACTCCCTCCTCTCCTTCATCTCTCAGAATCTCTAGCTTCCTTTAAAGCTCAGATCAAGCACTGCCCCCTACATAATGCCTTTCCTGATTCCTCAAATACTTTGTACTTGTTTCCTCTTCTGAAATTACCTTGCATTTACTTTATATATGTGTGTGCGTATCCATATATTCATACATATTTGTGTGCGTGTATATAGGACAGAGGCCATTTTGTTTTTATCTCTATATCTCTAGCACCAAGGATAGTTCATGAAATATTGTTTGGTGGTTTTTCAGTCATGTCTAACTCTTTGTGACCCTATTTGGAGTTTGGGGTTTTCTTGGCAGATACTAGAGTGGTTTACCATTTCCTTGTCCAGCTCATTTTACAGATAAGGAAACTGAGGCAAATGGGTGAAGTGACTTGCCCAGGGACACACAGCTAGTGAGTGTCTGAGGCCAGATTTGAACTCAGGCAGATGAGTGTTTCTGACTTCAGGCCCATCACACTACCCACTGTACCACCTAGCTGCCCATCATGAAATATAACTGGTATTTAATAAATGCCTTTCAATTAACTGGCTCCAGCTGCCTCAGTTTAATAAAGAGGTAGCATGGCATAATATGTCAACAGCCAGCCCGATAGTCAGAATACTTGGCATACTAGTTGTGTGACCCTGGGGAAGTCAAGTCACTCCCAGTGGCCCAGTCACCTGTCTAAGACTCTAAGTTCCTGAGACTTCCTTATAGAAGGAGAGTTCTGGTGAAAAAATGTTTGAAGTCTTTCTTGATGTATGATAAAACAAACATTAAATACCTATTGTGCTTGGAGCACTGTGCAAGGCCTTTCAGAAGATACATAGTTTACATAAATTCCTGCCCTCAATGAACTTATATCCTTGTTAGAATGGGAAGAAGGGGAGAATGAAGATAAAAATACTAATTACTAGCATATACAACTATAACACAAAAAGCTATATGATGAGTACATCTGCAAGTTATAAAACCAAGCTCCATGTGAGATCTGGTAAGGGAGGCATATATACTAATTGGGGGTTCAGAGAGGATTTCCTGGAGGAGGTGGCATTTGAATTAGGGTTTAAAGAATATGTAGGGATTCTACAAGAAAGAAAAGTAAGAAGGGGCAGTTAGGTGGCACAGTGGATGGAGCACCGGCCCTGAAGTCAGGAGGACCTGAGCTCAAATCCTGCCTCAGACCAAACACCTGACACTAGCTGTGTGACCCTGGGCAAGTTACTTACCCGCAATTGCCTAAAAAACCCAACCAAACAAAAAAGCCAATAGAGAAAAGTAAGAAGAGCATTCCAGGTCTAGGTAATAATGTGAGCCAAGGTATACAGCCATAAGAGTGCCATGGTCAAAGGAGACAATAGTAGAGATCAGCTGGAATACAAAGTGCATGGAAACAATGTGAATCCATTTTTTAAAAATTATCCCTTATCCTTATTTCTTACCTCTCTAGATCTCCAAGTCTTGAGTCTCTGGATGCTTTTTTTTCTAATTTTTTCTTTTGTAACTCCAAGAGTATCTTTTCTCTCTGTAGCAATTGCTAGATAATGATAAAGTCAGAACAAATAATCACAGATTATAGCAAATCCTCATACGGTGCTATCAGGAGATAAGGGGTTTTTTTTTTTCATTTTATACTTATAGTCAATACAAGACCAGAGGGAAAGGATGGAATACTGAAGGGCCATTCTTTCCTGGGCCCACTTCTGTCTCCTATCTCAAGGACCTTTTACCTTATTCACCCACCCAGTCAACTCAAATTTTCCCATGAGGTGAACTTGGGGCTAAGGTATACCTAGAAGGACTGAGGTTTCCCCCTGCTCAGTAGTTTAGCCTGATTAATCCAGACAGTCCTTACTCTGTAAGAGTCAGTGCCCTTGTCCTTTGAACAGAGGCCAAATTTCAACATGTCACTTCAAGGAACATTGGGCTAGAAGTCAAGAGATCTGGGCTCCAGTTCTTGCTCTCACAGTAACTCCAAGTCTATATTTTCTTCTCTGTAAAATTAAGAACGTGGACAAAGTAGTGTCTAAGGTCCTTTCTGGCTCCAACAATCTGTGGGCCAGGAGACTTGGTTTCCATTTGCTTCTCACCTCAACTCAGCACTAATTTCAGAAAGAGTTGAATCAACCTCCCTCTGACTTTGGCTAAGTCATTTCCTCTCATTCAGCCCTTTCCTCAAAAGCATCTATTTGTTTGCTGCCAAGAGTCACCATTCCACCTTCACCCCTCAATAATCAGGCTCCTTGCATGACAAATATGATGAAACAACTGACCTAGTTACCCAAGAATAATTAGTTGAAACAGGCAGCTATCAAATGGCCTATTTCTTCTGGGATTAGGTAGTTTCACTAGCACTGGCTGGCTCCACGGTATCCTATGGTCTCCCATAACCCCCAACCCCTCCTCTCCTACTGAGGATGATTTTCAAGCCACTTAGCCTAAAAATAGTTCATGGTATTTGCCCCAAGAGCAAAATTCTTAGTTATGGGCCCCTTGTTCACCACCATGTGGTAGGGGAATAGCATTTGATTTACAGTATAATAGAATCTTTGATGTGGAAAGGTGTTTTGTATATCCTATTGCATATCTTCCAAGGAAGTCAAATAACCAAATTAATTTGGTATACAATGGTTATTGAAACTTTACTTGAATATTGTGATGAATCTGTGACTTCATCATTGTAGATATGCCCTCCACTGAGGGAAAACACAATCTTTCTAGATTTCTCACCCTATGTGATTTTTGTCCATGTTTTCTTGTTAACACTCCATAAAGGATCTGCCCAGCATAGGTATATGCTATTATTTTATTTTCATTTCTTTTCATTACTTGACCAGGGTGCTTTTTAAGCACCCATATATGTCCTCAATAATGTCTTTTACACTGATTCTTGTGCATCATTGTTGGTAATACTACAGGCTGATGACACCTACCATATATCTTTCAGCAACAACAGACTTATATATGCTATGCACGCAGGAAAACAGCCAATGCTTTTAATATTCTAGGAAAAATCATTCTTTCATTGAAGTTATATTATATTATTATAGCATTTAGATTGGATTGGCAACATAGCCCCAACAAAATGTCAGATAGGCATTTGTCCCTTAGAGTACACCTTCTCTACAACAATAAATTCACTGTGCTAAGGTTATCCAAAATTCATATTTCCACCCATCAAATAAATATAGGACAAATAATGACAATAGCCCCAATTTTCTTAAGGTCCTTTCAGTCCACCCAGTATAGGCAAATATCTATCTAGTTTCCTTTGGTTTTTGTTTTGTTTTAGTCTGCACCTGTAATTTCATCAATGTCAAGAAGTCCTGGTGTATGTCTTATGCCCTCGGAATAAAGTCCACAAGGCCTGTCATTTTATTCTGTTGTACCAATGCTAGGTGCATTTTGTCATTTAATTAACTGCTAGAGTAATTATTTTCATGATGATAGCAACATCCCTTAAGGGGAATGTAGCCTACAAAAAACATAAGATAAAGGAGGAAAGGCAGCTTTCAGTTTTAAAAAGACTATGCTTTATCAGAATAATTACATCCATTTATCTATTTTTAGTTCAGCTAGGTAGAACAGTGGATAGATGCCTGGCCTGGAGTCAGGAAGACCTGAGTTCAAATCTGACCTTATATACTTACTAGCTGTGTGACCTTGGGCAAGTCACTTAACCTTGTTTGCCTTAGTTTCCTCAACTGTAAAATGAGCTAGAGAAGGAAATGACAAATAATTCCCAATATTTTTGCCAAAAAAACACCAAATGGTGTCACAGAATCAGGCATGACTAAAAAATGACTAAACACTGTTATTCATTCTTTTTCCTTCAGTCATTCAAAGACATTTTGGGGTTCACCTACTTTGCATAAGGCCGTGTGTTAAGCACATTTTGAAAACCTCTCAATATTCTGAAAGCCTCAATATTCTAAAAACCTCAAGCAATCAGTAATTCACAAAAATTGGTCATTAGCCTGCATTTGTCTATCTGTCTCTTTCTCTTTTTCCCTCTCCTTCTCCCTCTCTTTCCCCTAGTACCTTCAAGACTTTCTATAGAACTCCTTGAATCCTTAACACTTACCCCTACAACAAAATTGCAACAGGAATTGTTTCTTGTAGGTGCTGCCAATTCCAACTTCAGAAGCTCTAGGAGCATCACAATAGGTACAGTTTACCTTGCATGTCACTGAAAGGCAGCAAAGAATGGAGTACTGGAAATGCTACATAATAATAATAATATTTATATAGCACTTCAAGGTTTGCAAACCACTTTTTACAAATATTAATACTATCCTTACAGTCACTCTGGGTAGTTGTATTATTATTATCTTCATTTTACAGATAAGAAAACTGAGGAAGATAAAAGTAAAATGACTTTCCTAGAGTCACATAACTGGTAAGAGTTTGAGCCCAGACTCAGGTCTCAATGATGCCAAGTTTAGCATTCTATCCACTGCACTACCTAGGTACCTCAATAAGCACTTATTAAGCACCTTTTGTGTTTCAGAAAATGTACTAGGTGCTGGAAATATAAAGAAAAAGAAGAAAGGAGTCTCTGCTTACATTCTCCTGGTGGGGAAGGGACATATACACATACAAGTGTATATAAAATATATACCAAGTCAACACTAGGTGATTTGGGGCATGGGGATAACACTAGCACCTGGGCATCAGCCAAGGCTTCATGGAGGAGGTGACACCTCAGCTGAACGCTGAAGGAAGCCAATAATTCTAAAAAGCAGAATGAGGATTGGGGATTCCAGGTCCACGAAAAGATGGGAGATGAAACGAGAACCACCAAGAAGGTCGGTTTGTCCAGACCACATAGTTTATGTCAGGGAATAATGTTCAATAAGCCTGGCAAGGTAGTTTAGAGAAAAATCATGAAGGATTTTTGATGCCAACGAGTAGAGGTTATTATTATTGTTAATTACCATAAGGTAATAGAGGCACTTGATCTGCGTATCCAATCTGTTAACAAATCTTGTCATTTTCACTTTCACAGTATCTCTTGTATACATCCCTTTCTCTCCATTCCTACAATCACTCTTGTACCTTACCACCTTTTGCCTGAACTATTGCAATAGTTTTCTGGTAGCTCTCCCTACCTCAAGTCTCTTTCTACACCAATCTATCCTCCACTCAGCTGTCTAAAGTAATTTTGAAGCTCAGGTCTGATCACGTCATTCTCCCCCAACCCCCCACTTCATAAACTCCAGTAACTCCAGGAATAAATAGAAATCCTGTTTGGCATTTAAAGACCTTCATCATCTGACTCCTTAATACCTTTCTAGTCTTCTTTCACTGTGTTTCCCAACCATCCAGCTATGCTAGCCTAATTCCTATTCCTCACACCTGACCAGCCATGTCCAGAGAGAGTGCCTTTGCAGGGGCTAACCCCCGTGGCTGGAATGCTCTTCTCCTCACCTCTTACACCTCCTCCCTTCCTGGACTTTTTTCGAGACTCAGCCCAAATGTTACTTTCTGCAGGAGGCCTTCCCTGGACCCCTTGTTTCTAGTCCTTTCCCTCTGAGATTCCCTCCTATTTACCTCCATACATTTTTTAGGTACACAGTTATTTGCATTTTTGTGCATAGTTATTGCGTGTTGTTCCCCCTCTCATTAGAATGGAAGCTCCTTTGGGGCAAGTACCATATTTTAGCCTTTCTTTGCATCCCCAAAACTTAGCACAGTGCCTGGCACAAGGTAATTGCTTAATAAATGCTGAAAGATTTGCTGACTTACAATTGGCAAGAGTGGAGGGTGAGGAATAAAAGGGTAGGCAGAGTAAAAAGAGATGAGGCAGATTTGTAATTTCATTGGTTTAGGGAGATTCCAGGTGAGAAAATTTCCTCTACCCATAACAGATCAGCTATTGTTCTGCAGCTTATAGTTTTAAAAAAATTACCTGAGGTACTAAGAGGCTTAGTGACTTAACCAGTGAACAACCAATATATTTATTAAATGCCTACTATATGCAAGTCATTAAAACATATCCTACAAGGGAAAGAGAGTTAACCACAGAGTTAGGAAGACTTGGATTCAAGTCCTAGATCACAGATATAGATATAGATATAGATATAGATATAGATATAGATATAGATATAGATATAGATATAGATTAGATATAGATATAGATATAGATATAGATATAGATATAATACATCCTATATAATATATGATAAATAATATATACAGTATGATATATAATATGTAATATATGATACATAAAAAATAAAAAAATAAAAAATATATAGGGTATATACTATACCTACATCATACATACACATGTATGAGATATATATATGCATATATATATATAATATATGTATATGATGTGTATATATATGATATAGGACTTGAATCCAAGTCTTCCTAACTCTGAGGTCAGCTCTTTTTCCCCTATAACATATGCGCTAATGATTTGCATATTGTAGGCATTTAATAAATGTTAGATGAATGAATAAAAGCTATTGTGATGACAGCAAAAATACTTTAAAGGTTTTTTTTAAGTTTTGTTACCGTTCAGTTGTGTCCAACTCTCTGTGACCCTGTGGACCATAGCATACTAGTACTGTCCATGAGGTTGTCTTAATAAAGATACTAGAGTGGTTTGCTATTTCCTTCTCTGGTAGATTAAAGCAAACAAAGGTTAAGTGACTTGCCCAGGGTCACACAGCTAGTAAGTGTCTGAGGCTGCAATTGAATTTAGGTCTTCCTGACTCTAGGCCCAGTGTTCTATTCACTAAGCCACCTAGCTGCCTCCTTTTTTAAGTTTACCTGATAGTTAATGTCAACTGAGACAGTAGCACTGTTTTATTTCATGATTTTTAAAAGCAGTATTGTTTCAAATACACATGTTACGGATAACCAAAAACATTTGTAAAAATATCTTTTTGATGCCCTGACCCCAAATTACTAATATCTTTATTGTTATTTTTAAACTCTAAAATCATACTAACCTCTGTTTTTTCTGGACCTTTAATTTTTTTGAGTTCATTCTCTAATATCATTCTTTCCTCTGTTACTAAATCTAAATCATTTTGAATCAACTTGTATTTCTAAAAGCAAATGTTACATTGTTATGTGACAATGAAAAATATATGTGTATCTAAAATTATAGGTTATCAAGATAATTAACAGCTTAACTTCAGAATTACATATTTAAAGTAAATAATTGTTTTAAGTCTATTTTGTAAAGATATAAAATACAATAGAATTTCTGGACTACAGATTAAACTATTTGCACTAACACACATGATGTGCATGATTTAATAAAATAACTTTACTCTCCCTAAAAAAAAAAAAAGATAATTAACAAGAAATTAATGAGAAAACAAAGATGTTTAATTTACTATTTTTTAAACAAGCAGTTAATTTAGGCTCCAAATTACCCTTGTTTGAGTATCTATATTCTACTGCTTGATGTACAATGCTTTAAACAGAAACATTACATAGCTAGGAGTCCTTCAATACTTCAAAAGATCTATGGTTTCATTTGTGTGGATCAACATACCGCAAAAATCCCATGTATGATCAGACTATTTTCATGGGCTACTCCAACCAAGATAAAAATAATCATTAGTTGGGGGCAGCTAGGTGGTGCAGTGGATAGAGCATTGGCCCTGGATTCAGGAGGACCTGAGTTCAAATCCAGCCTCAGACAGATAACACTTACTAGCTGTGTGGCTCTGGGCACGTCACTTAACCCCAATTGCCTCACAAAAAAAAAAAAATAAATAATAATCATTAGTCCTTTGGTCAAGAGTCCCTCTATTAGAAAAGTTGGTCCTCAGGTTACAGTACATCACTGGACCCCTAGGTGAAGTCTATTCAGTACTGAACTTATCAGGGTTTTCATTCCACAGACAAAGATTTTGAGAACCCAGGGTCACCCATACACTATGACAAACTAGAACTGTAGTGGAATATAACTACATTAAAATTTTTAATAAAATAGTAAATTTTGGGACTTCTTTTAAAGATTACCATTTCCATTAAAATGTTAAATCAATGTGTGCCACCTAGAATAAGGGTACCTGAACAAAACTATGAGACAGGAAGGGCTGTGGTTCTGCATTTTTGGATCCTATATAAATCTCACTTAGAAATGTCTCAAATTTACTTCACTGACTTTTTATTCTTGTCATGTTTATCAGTTTGTTGTAACATCTTCAAACTAAAAAAAGTGGCTTTTGCCTTGCTCATTTTCAATAAGTTACATTACTTAGTTTATTCTTATTTAACTAACTACTCTTACTTCACTTATTCATCAGCTATGTCGAAATGGAAGCATTTAACATATAACCTCCCCCTCAAAAAAACCATATATGTTACCTCCCCCTCTTAAAAATGGCCGCTTCATGTGGAAACAGTGAAAAAAGGGAAAGTGATTACATAATTATGGAATAATTTTGTTCTCTTTTTGGAGAAGAGAGTTTGGGAAACTTGGTTCATTTTCATGAACGCGTTTATCATTAGTTAATTAAAGTGTCACCTTTTGGAGTCTTTTAAAATGAACATACGCAGTTCTTAAGAACCCTGTATTCATCCTCTAGCTCCCCAAATCTCAGAGGGGTCTAAGGAAGTCTATGAAATTCTTCTAAAACAAGCTCCAATGTGAGCAAGCTGGACTCAGAAGCCTTTAAGGTCCCTTTAACTCTAAATCTAAGATCCTATTGTAACATCAAGAAAGAATTTAAATAAAATTTTATGAAATAATAGTTAGGAAATATAAGTGGCACTGAGAACATAATCATATATCAGCAATGTGTAGTTTAGCTTCTAAAATAAGTCACAGAAAAACAGAATTTGTAGTCTAAGAGCGTGAAAAGGAGACAGATCTATGATTAAAGAGGACATTGTAGCAGATTAGAGAAATTTTACATTGGACTTAATACAATATTAACAGTATAATATGCTAGTGCAAGAACTTTACAAATATCCTAAATATCTTGCTTTGGTCAGATCAGAGGTTTACTCATGTCTAAAATCTGGCAATGTCAGAAATAACTTTTACTACAATGCTTATATTTCAATCTCCCGGTGGCTCATTATTATATATTTCATGCTACTAAATATAGTCCAATATAACTGGGTTTTTTTCTTCCAAAAACTACTACTGACATACTCAGCTTTTATTGCATTAGGATATCTGTTGTTACTCTAGTTAATGGCAACACACTTGCCCCACCAGAAGTAGGCACAAATAGAAAAATCTGTGAAATAGTATGGAACCTATGCCATAACACTATAGTTTTACAGGGAAGGTGGCTCCAAGTCAACAAATCTAGTTGGACTGGTTGTCAATCAGGCCCATAAACCACAAGAATCTGTAACTGAATCTCTTAATGATGAGGTGTCAAGCCGTTCCCAAGATTTCTTGCAAGACAGAACTCATTCCGGAAGGATAGAATTACAGAGCCTTGGGGCTGGAAGGACCTTAGAATCATCTAGTCTGACCCCCTCATTTCACAGAACAGGAAACTGAGCTCTCTCCTAAGTGTTAGAATCTCTCTGATTATCTTGGGTCACGTTTCCAACACCATTAAAAACTACAGGCCCAAGATTATAGTTGCAAAAATCTGAAGTTTCCTACCCAGAAAAACCAATTAGGGTGGAGAAGTACTCTAAAAAAATCTATATCTAAAAACGGATGAAGAAGCTATGTCAAAGAATATGTGTATTAATTTAAACTTTTGTGAACTTAAGCCTTACATTTGCATAAGATTCTCCTTTATTACTTATTCTTTCCAGGATCTCCCCACTGTCACCCCTTATGCAAGCCTGGAACATCAGGTATCATTCACTCCAACAGCTAGATAGATGGCTCTCTACTAGATCACTTGAGAGCTTGGACCTCAAGGTGTTTCACTAAGAACTGCTGGATGTATCGAGGGCAGGGAGCTACTGATACACTTACTGCAGGAAATAGACAATTTCAATTTGAAAGTAAAACATACTTACAAGCTCAAGATTATCTAGTTCATTCATCATTCTGGAGAGAGAAAAAAACAAATTTCATATGTGAAATATATTTTGCATTAATAATTGTTGCACAAAACCCAAGTTTACACAGAAGTGAATCTTCTGAATATTCTAAATTCAATTTAAATGTGCCACCAGCATTCAAGTAATTAGGTTTCTTAACCAAATTTGTACATTATTCTTAGTGTTAACCCCGACAACTACCTGCATTATGGTCACTTACCCATCCTCTGAATTTCTCCTTTTCTATTTGACAATGATTAGTTTTCTTTGAATCTTATACAAACCTCCTCCCTACCTGACCTCCAAAGATGAGATCTACATCTTGTCACAAGTTTTTTCTAAATTCCTACTTCTCTTTGAGATATTTTGCACCTGAACACAGGGGGAAATGTCACAAAGGTACTGCCAGTGTTCTTTTCCATCTGTCGCCACTTTGGGGCATAAAACCAACGGGATAGTGAATGGTTCAGCACATACGGCACCGGTTTTTACTTCTGCCTGAACATTTCCTGGTTGTTTTATTGAAGGAACTTTCCATGTTCCCAGTAATTGAGTATCTAGGGTTGGATGACATCTGGGGCTGCCGATACAGGGACTGTTGTGGCTACATCCACAAAAGCAAGAGACTAACAAATAATAACTGCTCCTATGTATCTTTCCAATAAACCACACCCACAAATCTCTTGCACAGTCACTTTATGCATGTCTTAGTGCAGAACCCAAAACTCATTAGCCACATTCAGAATAAAAACACAAAATATGATTCAGACAGGTGTTTCTTTTACATCCCAAGTCGATGAAACTGGCAACAGAAAGTCTCTTCAAAGGCAAAGGAAACAAAACCTGAAAACTCTGGGAGATGTATGCTTGCACACATTTCCTAGCTTCACCAAGGGGCACTGATTGTTAACCCTAGTCACTTTCAGGGAGCCTTGGAAACACACCTATTATATTAAAATGGGTTTTCACACAATGTACCAGATGAAATCCAGCTAAAGGGAAAATACAGTAGACTTAGATGTCTCTTTTAACCTATAATAAGTTTGCATTTCCTTTGACAGCTGCCATATCACATTGTTTAATCACTTTAAGCTCACAGTTCACTAAAACTTCCACATCTTGTTTTTATAGGAACTTTTCCCTAGTCACGGAATCTCAGAATTTGAAAGCTGGTCCAACACACACACAAAAGAATACCCCCTACAAAATAACTGACAAGTGGTCCCCCAGTCTTTAAAAAATCTAATGAGGGGGAAGCTGCTTCCTTAAGACTTCTACTTGCAGAGATAATTTTTCTCTAATCTTTCTTTCCTTTTCCTCCCTAGTATATTCCTCTTCTCCTTCCATTCTTCTCTGAAGATCACAAAGACACAACAGAACCAAACATGCCTTCTAATTAGAATCCCTCTATGGCTGGATAAGTTATTCTTGGCTATAAACCTATATTCTTTGCCTTCTGGAATATCATATTCCAAACTTTCTGCTCCTTAGTACTGGTGGCTGCTAAATCATGTGCAATCCTGGCTGTAGTTACTTGGTACTTAAATTCTTTCTGACTGCTTGTAGTACTTTTTCTTTGACCTGGAAGCTATGAATTTTGGCCATGATATTCCTGGAAGTTTACGTTTTGGGATTTCTTTCTACTTGCACTTTGTCCTCTGGGATCTCCAAGAGTGGAGTAATTGGTTAGTGCCATTTGTGAAGAAAGGAGGGAAGTGGTTTGACATGAGGTTTTACATTGGCAGCCTAGAGGGAAAACCCTAGATTCTCTGGACATCGGAGAAACAATTAGCTGTGAGACTGTACTACTGACTCATGGTAGACTTTGTCTACCATGCCATAGAAACCTTTTTACCCTGAAAGCTCACTCCACCTTGGGGCTACCTCTCACACTTCTCTCACATTGAAAGTACTCTCTGTAGATCAAAGCATACTATTTGCTATTTTTTTTCTTCTGTTCTTTCTGATGGTTCCTCCTATTGGCTCTAATTCTTACTTACAACAACACTAACGTGAAAATATGTTTAATAGGAATGTATATGTATAGCCTGTATCAGATTGTGCACCATCTTGGGGAGGATGGTGGGGAGGAAGGGGGAGAAAAATTTTAAACTCAAAAGCATATGGAAGTGATTGTTGATAAATCAAAATAAATTTTAAAAAAAGAAAAGAAAGTACTGTCTGTTCCTATGATCTCTCCCTCTTACTGGCTGGTTCCTCCCAGAACCTCCAAATTAAGGAGGTAACCCAGGACAACCATCTCTTCATTCCTCTCTGACTTACAGGACATTCTCTACCATTTCTTTCCCCACCCCTCCTGCACTGATTTTCAGCTCCCTTTTATATTTTCAGCTTTCTCCATTGGAAGAGAACTATTTGTATTTCTTTCTGTTTTTATTTGTATCTCCAGTACTTAGAATAGTGCCTAGCAGTTAGTAAATGTTTATTAACTCACTGGTTCTTCAAGATCTGGGCAGTTTATGATTTCTTGAAATAGAACGTCTAAGGTTTTTTTTGGTCATGAATTTCAGGTAGCACATTTATTTTTACATTTTTCTCCTGTTTTCCAGGCCATTTGTTTTTGTTTACATTTCCTTACATTTTCTTCTATTTGTTTTAATCTTCTGACTTTATTTCATTATTTCTTATTGTTTCATGAAATTATTGGTTTCTCTTTGTTCCAATCTAATTTTCAGGGAGTTTATTGCTTAGACGAGATTTTTGTACCTCCTCTGCTGAGCTGTTAATTCACCTATCAATCCTTTCATTATTCCATAGCTCTCATTTCTTTTCCAATTTTTTCCTCTAGCACATTTCATTTATTTTAAAAAGGTAGCCTTTTAAAAAAAAAACCTCTTATCTCATCTCTTCTGGAAATTCTACCTGAATTTATGTTCAAGCTGTATTTTTGAGGCTTTGCTTCTAAATATTTTGTAGTCACTTCTTCATTGCTTGTGTCTAGGGCATCCCTTCACCATAATAGCTTTTTATGATGGGATTCCTTTTTTGTTGTTGTTGTTCATCTTCTAGCCTACTTCCTGACCTAAGACTTTCTGTTAGGGCTAGGCTCTGCACACTCTGGAGGGAAGGTCTGGGTTGGTCACATTGCTATTTCTTAAAGTACTGTATATTATGTCATCCCCAGGATCTCAGGGACAGCTCGGGCTGAGCACCTGCAAGCTATCAGTGCTCCCTAAGTGGTCTGAGCTAGGGCAAAGTCTGAATGCTGTCCCCTTGGTTAAGTCCTATAACTTTCTGACCTGGTCTTGGGCCTGAGTAAGAATCGACTGCTACTGGACTCAACCATTAATCAGACAGTTCTTCCAATTCAGAGTGAGAAAAGTACAAGCTCTACTTTGGTCTGTAATTCCCGGACTCATAAATCCTCTGCAGACTTCACATTGGGGTAGATGCTGGAACTGAGAACTCACTCTGCTCCTGGGTTCAGAATCACGTCACTGCTTCTTGCAGAGCCTAGGGTCTGCCAACCCTCTGCATAGATCCCTTTCTCAATCTACTAGATCTGTGACCCAGGGTGACAATGTCAACCATTGCATCCTGCACACAGTGCCCTCGTATGGATCTGAGACCTCCTCTCGCCCTAGTGCACAACTTTTCCTTGTGCTATAGTGCCTCATTTGTACTCCTAACCACACCCAGTCCTTAGTGTCCACAAACCTCTCTATCTCCCTATGCCCACCCTGGTCTGGAAAAGTGATTGTGACTGGTGATGGATTTCCTAATTAATATTCTGTCTGGCGTGTTTTCTCTATCAGTTTGTGGGAGTTTCCACAAGGGGCTCACTGTACTGTTCCCTGCTACTCTGCCATGTTCCCAAAGCAATCTCCTGATTGTCAAATTGGAAGGTGCTCTTCCAGCTGGCTGAATCTGAATCATTGCTTTTCCCCTCATCCACTAATTTAAGATGCAATAAAAATTATCTTAGGTTTATCTAGCACCATCATTAAAATACAAATAACCAGTAAGCAATTTTTTTAAATAAAAGAAACTCAGTGGTAACCGGTTTTGACTGTGTTTAGGCAATATTAAGGGAAATGCCAACTGCAGCCATTCTCATCTCTCCTGCTCACTCTTTCCAAATCTCTCTCTAGTCTCTCTTCAGAAAGACTTAAAAATTGCTGCTACAATGAAAACTCTGCCATCAGTTCTGATCTCATGATAGCTTTGTCTCTTATAAAACTAGAAAGAAAGATAGCCCTCATGGTCTTTAGCAATTATGGCCCCTTTGAAAGGCATCAGATCCATGCATTTACTGAATGATTGTTACACAAGTTAACCCAACTAGACTCTACTTTTGTCCTTTTTAAAAAAAATAGACACAATATTTGCAGCATCCTTTCTCCAAAGTCTTTTTTGTTGTTGTTGGGTTTTATTGTTTTTGAACTTTTTAATCATCAAGTCAACTAACATCAAATGAGATAAATATCTCCATACAAAGCTGAAAGATAGGATCACACATAAAGGCATAAATCGGTTTTATGAACAGCTTGCTTTTCTCTTTAAAGATATAATTCAACATGTTACATCCCCAAAGCTGACCTGCTTGTCTGCGTTTTCCAATGACTTTCATTCTCTTCTCTTTTATGCATTTTTAAATGCTTCAATGACTCTTTTTTCTTACTTTTAATTTTTCATTGTGGTAATCCTATTGCTAATCCCTCTCCTCCTAAATTAAAATAATAATAAAACAAAATCATTGTATCACATAAGTATAGTCAAGCAAAATAAATCCCACACTGGCCATGTCTGAAATGTAGATCTCATTCTGTACCTTGATTTCATTGCCTGTCTATCAGGACGTAGGTAATGTATTTTATCACTAGTCCTTTGGAATCATGACTGATTCATTGCATTAATCAGTTCTTAAGTCTTTTAAAGTTGTTTTTGTTTACCATACTGTTACTGTAAAAATTGCTTTCAGGTTCTGCTCACTTCATTCTGCACCACTTCATTCAACTCATCCTAATTTTGTTTGAAATCATTTCT